CGGTGAAGCCATGGACCCTGTCTAGGTAAATTTTTCCCATGATTGTTTATTGAGTTTTGTGCTAATACATACTATATATAAGGCTGAGGTGGATGACATATCACCACATAATGCCACATAAGTTACACGCTCAGCAAGAGCAATTACAATCACAAATATAAAAAAATAATTTACAATTAAGTCCTTACAAAAATGCAATTAAGTACCAAAACATATAATTTCTATCAATTGCCCAAAGTATATAATTTCTCCAAATTATTATTTCTAATTTTTTATACTCAATTTTTTTCAGTTTTACATATTATTATTTTATAACAGCAAGTGGAGGAAATTCAAGTTTCACAAGGGGCAAGGGTAAAGGTTGGAGAAACACAAAATTCAATCTCATCCATGCATATAAACTACACATTTTATAAATTTTTAAAATTTTAAATTTTATATAAATAATGTCCTCTAATTTTTAGATTTTAAAATTATGCAAACCTGCAGAAAAATTGGCTGGAGAACCATCTGGAACCTACAACTCGAAATCGTTAAAGAATTGAAACCATGACTGTGACATCCCAGGTTTGGGGCACAACACCTTAGGCGAATCCCACATCGGCTACGCACAAGGTGAAAGTCCTATACATAAAGGGTGGCAACCTTACAATCCCCAGGTTTGGGCACAACACCTTAGGCGAATCCCACATCGGCTTACGCACAAGGTGAAAGTCTTATACATAAAGGGTGGCAACCTTACATGGTAGACGCGTTTTGGCTGGCAGAGTGGAGGTTTCTCTGGCCAACAAATACCGTGCGGGCTTGTCGGTGGCCCAAAGCGGACAATATCTACCATGGGCTGGGCATGGTTACAATTTGGTATCAGAGCCAAGCCTTTGTCCCTCTTGGCCCGGTGGTGGGGCAAAACCTCAGCAGAGGGACACTGAGTCCCTAAGGGGGGGTGTATGTGACATCCCAGGTTTGGTGGCACAACACCTTTAGGCGAGATTAACACATTGCTACGGCAACAAAGTGGGAAGTCCTATACATAAAGGGTGGCAACATTTGAACAATGGTACGACGCGTTTTGGCTGCAGAGTGGAGGTTTTTCCTGCCCAAGAAACAAAACCGTGCGGGCTTTGTGTGGCCCAAAGGCGGACAATATCTCCCATGGGCTGGGCTGTTTTACAATCGACCAGACGCGTTTTGGGCTGGCAGAGTGGAGGTTTTCCTGGCCCAGAAACAAAACCGTGCGGGCTTGTGTGGCCCAAAGCGGACAATATCTACCATGGGCTGGGCTGTTACAATGACCGACCAATTTCAAACCAAAATTTGAACCGTGACCGACCGATTTCAAACTAAAATCGAAAACGTGCATTTTCAATTCGGTTCTAATTTTATATTATTTGAAACCAGAATCGTCAATTTTGAAAATAGATTTAGTGGTTCCGACATCATAGCCGCCCCTACTGCTAGCTAAGGCACTAAAGGAAATGGTTGAATCTTTAAGGTCTTACTCTAAGTCCTCTTCCCCTATATTCACTTGACCTTCTAACTCAATCTCAGAAGTTTCCACGGTCAACAGATGCTTGGACTTTCAAATATGGCAGGGAAATATCTCTCTTCGTATTTAAAACGAGGCTTAGGAGTGTATGTAGGTTCTGATGGTTTAGGTTAGGTCAGTACAGAAGGTTTGGTGGTAGGGGTCTGGTTTAGGTAATGGGGAATTAGAGTTAGGCCTGGAAGGAAAAGTTATGTAAGAAGGTTTATGAAGACTTGCACGTTGCATAAATAAATGGTTATTATAATTTGACCTACTCAAAAGCTTGAATTGAAGAGGACCAATGTCGGCCTAATATACTCATTTAAGCCATTTATAAAACTATAGATTGAATAAGCCTCATAAATACTACGATTATGCTTCTACATTTGATACACAGAAACAGTTTTGTCATGTTTTAGGCTATTAAACTCTTCTATAATGTTCATTGGTGTTAGTTCAACAAATCTAACACATAAGCCCATTTTCAAATTCAGGTTACTGTTCCAAGATTTCTTTGGGTAGCATTGGTCATATTATAAGAGGTTGTCCTAGAAGAAGACATGTTAAGTATATGGATTGATTGACTGCCAATCTCCATGACATTAAAGCCATTTATTAGTGAATCAAGGTCCTTTAGGGTTTATGGTACTGAGTGAAGACACAACTCCAACAGTGGGATTTTGGTGATTGGAACAATCTAATTCCAACATTTGGAGAAAATGGGTGGGTAGGGTTAGAAGATTCCCCACCTTCCTAATGGCGAGTTGTGTTCAAAATATCTCTATTCCCTTGCATGCATCTAGGATTTTCCGTAACAATAAGAGGAGAAAATTGAGATTTACCTTTTTGAGTTGTCTTACATAGACCAATAGTTGCATCAATTGTTGAGAGCACTCCTCAAGTACCTTCGATTAATTGTTATGGATTGAATGCACAACAACTCTGAGTTCAATCAACTAGTTCTGGTAGGCATGACCCTGGTTCAATTCTAAATCGAAACCGATCTGAAATCAAACCTATCAAAATCAGAATCAAACCATGGTCAATAAGTTCAAGATTTCAAACTGTAACTGAAACTGATATTTAAGGTTGGATTGGAGTTCTTCATATTTTAAAATTAAAACTGGTGATTCCGGTTTGAAACTGTTAAAAAAGAAAAAAAATCGATCATACTTGATTTTTAACTTTTTAAAATTTTTGATTAAATGTTGTAATTGTACCGTCAACTTAAAATGTGTTAACATAAATAAAACTTGTAAATTATAAGTGAAAAAAGAGGAAAAAAATTGAAAAAAAAAATTATTGCTCCTCATTTATATGTTTTTAATTTAAATTTTTATACTTTATAATCTATACTTTTACATATAATATTTATTTAAGGTTTATTTTTTAAAACTCTCAAATAAATCAAAAATTTAGAAACTAAGTCCAAGTCCATTCTTTTCTCTCTCAAATTTAAAATTTATAGAAACTAAACAATAATAAAGAAAATTTGAAAACTATTTATTTACACTTTCAATCTTTACTAACACTATTACTTTATATTAATTTTTCTATTTAGGTAGAAAACTAAAAAAGGTTAAAAAAAACTTGAAAAAAAGTTATCAAATCTCAATTCCAAACTAAAATTAGCAGTTTAGCAATTAGAAAAACTGAAACCAACTTTGAAACGTCTAAAAGTAGTTCGGTTCTGCTATCACTATTTTAAAATTAGAATCGATGGTTTTGGAACCGAAATTGATAGTTCTAGAACCATGGTCATGCTCACATTTTTAGATATTCACAGTATTTCCGCTATTCCTTTTGATTCTGAGAAATTAAACATTGAGATTATCCATGGATTTCTCATGCACTAAAGATTGCTCCTTCAAAGTTAGGATCCTCACCGCGATAGTCATGGTAGAAATTTTGTTTGGATGAAGGGAGGGTGAGATAATTAAAGTAAAGTATAGGAAAATATAATAAGGAAAGTATGATAAGTGTTTTTTTTGTGTTTGTGGGAAATGTATGGTAAATGAAGATTTAATAATATTCCTCTGTTTGGTTTGATGGTAGAGGAAGATAATGTTAAATATAAATATTACGAAAATACTCGTCATGAAAGGCTTATAAATATATTTATGGATAATTTTAGAAATTAAATTTTTTAACCATGCTTACACTCAATTCGGGGAGTAGAAGATTGAGGCATTGGGTTTTCAACCCCTCAAATAACTTCCAAAAACAATACTCTTCCTCAAACTCTCTTTCCAAACGACTAAATAATCCCCTCTACTTTATTTTACTCTCCAAACCTATCAAATAATAACCTTCATCCAAATAATCTGTTATTAAACAGATTAATTTGGGTAAACAGAAAAACTAGGATTTTGCCGAGATTGACCGGGTCTGTTACCATATTGTTAGACTCAATTGTTTAGAGCCCAATATCAGTCAATTTAGAAATTAGGATTTGAGACATCGAGAAAGAGAAATGGAGAGAGAAGAGAGAAAGAGAGGAAGAGAGAGAATAAGTTTGAATATTATGATTGTGTATGGAGCTTTGCCTTAATACATACTATATATAAGGCTGAGGTGGATGACGTATCACCACATAATGCCACATAGCTACACACTTAACAATAGGAATTACAATAACAAACTATAAACTAAATAAGTAATCACAATTAAGTCCTTATAAAAATGCGATTAAGTAACAAAATATGTAATTCCTATTAATTATGTTCTAACAGAAAGTCAGTTCTGTTAAAATTGAAATAGGGACAGGTCTTGATGATGCATTTGAGGAGTTGAAATTGATCTTGATTATCAATTAAATATATAATGAAGGAGTGAATGTTACAAGGGAAAAAGTAAAAAAAATATATATACGAACATTAATGTTAATGATGGTAGTAGTGACACAGACAAAAGGGGAAAGGTGAAGAGAATGGCGTTAAAGCTGAACCTGCAGAAGAAGAATATTATAATGAAGTTTCTGCTGATGAGCTTTGGCAAGGCATTGACATTAATGGTCAAATTTCTTCTGATGATAATGATGATATCGAAGAATTATGTGGAGATGATGGGCATGGAAATATCAGAAGGAGAAAGAAAAGGAACGTGTAATACAATCCAATATCACAAGTGCTTACTTTCTTTGTTGGAATGATATTCCAAAATGCATCAAAAAATTCGAGGATGTGTGCACAAAATATGTTGACATAAAAGGGATGGAGATTTATTTTGGTGGTAATGAAAAAGATAGAGTTAGAGCTAAGTGCCGCTTTGAGGGTTGTCCATGGACACTCTCTGCATCCAGAGAAGTAAACCCTAATGCTTTTCGTTATTAAGACTTGCGTGCACAAGCACAAGCCTTTTAGAGTTTATAAGAACAAGAGAGTGAAAAATACTTAGAATGTAACTGAAAACCCTAGTTAAGAAAAAGCTTAGATGCAATGTGGCATATAGCATGGAAAGAAGAGTGAAGAAGAAGTTAAAGGGAAATAGCTGAAGAGCTTAGAATATAAAAAGGTAATCTTATTACATATATCAATTGCCTCATCTGCTTCATATGGCATCAAAACAAATTATGCCCTCTTGTAAATGTATAATCGAGCAGAATTCAAGTAGGCAATCAATCCTACTACACTAAGTGCAGCAAGTAACCAATAATAATAATCAAGATGTGCCTTGTTAAGATTGTTAGAAAACCAACTCTCTTTTCCATCTCTATCTGTTGCTTTGTCAATGACAGAGACAAGAAAGCTACTTAGGAAACTACCAACACCAATCACACTAAGGTATAGAGAAAGACCCACACTTCTTAATTCCTCTGGAACCTGATCATAGAAAAATTCCTGAAGCCCAACAATGGTGAAAACATTAGCAATTCCACACAACACATATTGAGGAACCAACCACCAAATATTCATTGGAATCGTCATGTTCGGCAAATCAACCAATCCATATTCTTTAGCAGTTTCAAGCCTTTTCTTCTCAACTAAAGCTGCAATTACCATAGAAAGACCAGACACAAACATTCCAGTTCCTATTCTTTGAAGCATTGTAATTCCAGAAGGATTCCCAGTTAAAGATTTTGCATAAGGAACAAAAATACGATCGTATAATGGCATGAAGATAATAATTGCAAAACCGATAAAGGTTTGAAGTGAAGCAGCAGGGATTTGGAACCCAGGAAAAAATGTTCTGTTCATTGTACTGCCTTGCTTTATGAAAAAAGTTGTTGTTTGTGCAAACACAATTGCATATGATAAACTTGTGACCCATATTGGAATAAGCCTAAACAACGCCTTTGTTTCTTCCACATCACGAACATTTGAAGCTTCTTGGTCCATTGATTCATGTGGCGCTAGCAATGCTTTGTTGAGGAATCTTCCATGACAGAGAAATTGCCAGATTAGAGAAATGTTTAACACACAAGTACATGAGACTTCTTTTTATCAGTAAGGCTCAGTTTAGGATATCAAGTTTGAAGCACTATTCAAAATTGGAATCCTGACTCTTTTTGATAAATTTTTTTTTTTTTTTTTTTACATTGCCAGATTAGAAGAAATGTTTAACACACAAGTACATGAGACTTCCTTTTTTATCAGTAAGGCTCAGTTAGGCGATATCAAGTTTGAAGCACTATTCAAGAAAAAAAAAAAAAAAAAATTTGGAATCCTGACTCTTTTTTGATAAATTTTTTTTTTTTTTTTTGTTTTTGGATTGCTTTTGGTAAATAAATTTTTTTTTTTTTTTTTTTGGATTGCTTTTGGTAAACCATAGCTAACAAAAGGTTAGTTTTTCCCAAACCATGATATGCAAAACGCTAAGTTCTATAAAAGCAATTTAAATTCAATGCTAAACAAAAAAAACACTAAATAAATTCCTTTAGTAGTTTCTTACTTGAATTGCTCAGGACCACAACTATGAGCTTCCTCCTCTGCATCTATGCTTGAAGGAGTACTTAGCCGATTTTTAACTGCTCTAAAAATTATTTTACCAATTCGTACAAATGGGTTTGTCGCGTTTTGATTGACACTATACCGGTAAGTTCTACTTCCAAGTAAGAAAACAAGAAGTGCAACAACCATTGCAATGCAAGGGATCCCAAATCCAAAAACCCAATCAACATTTTCTTGGATGTAGACCACAGCTATGAGTGCTAAGTTAATGCCAGCAGAAGAAGTACAATAATACCAATTGAAAAATGAGCTCTTTTCTCTACTCTCCTTCGGATGTTGCCCATCGAACTGATCAGCTCCAAATGCTTGAACACAAGGCTTGTGCCCACCTTGCCCAACAGCTACTAGATATAGAGAGAAAAAGAATAAGATTACTTGGGACCAAGGAGGAGAAACATCATGAGAAGTTAGGGCACCTGATACAGTCAACAAGCCTAGTCCCTGTTTGCCAATTCACAATAAAAGGCTAAAAGGGTTATTTCTAGCAATTTCCTAATTTAATTAAAATCGGAATTATAATAGCGTTTATCACTAAAATTTGAACCATTCATAACTAAAATTATAATATAATTAATATCTATATAAATTGTAATGAAATTAAAAAGATCATTAATATTTTTTTAACTTTTCATTTTAAAAGTAATTAATTTTTATCTGTTATCTATTTTATTTATTTATTGTTTTATAATTTAATTTTTTGAATTAATGGGGCAAATAATAATGATATTTTTAGTTTTTGTAATTATTATTAGAATTAATGTGACCATTCATATTTATTTAAAATAGTAAAACGTTTGAGTTTCATTTTATAATAATTAATTAAATTAATAATATTAATAACATTTTTAAATAACAAATAAATTGAATATCGCAATTATTAATAATTAAAGTTTGGGATAGAGATTAGAAGACCTTATTAGGTTCCAAAGAGAGTTGCCCTGTTGTAACTGATTTCAATTTTAATGGAGCAGAAATAACTATATCTCCATTTAATAATTTTTCTTTATTGTTAAATATTAAAAACAATTATATTTTGTATTTTTTTTTTTTATGCGATTTATATCCTAAAAAATTTAAATTTATTTAAAGTCTAATGCATAAATTTAACTCCACGGTTATTTTTCTGACTCCCTGATTTTGCATCATACTATGTACTAATAACTACAACCTTTGTTAAAATAAAAATTAAAAATATAAAATCATAATTAAAATTTTAAAATTATTTAATTTTCGCAAAAAAATATTTATTATTAAAATATAAAAGTAGAAAATGATTATTAAATCCTCAAAATTTAAGGGGCACGCAGGGGAATCCGAACTCCAGAAATACTTTTGGATTTCCCTTATATAATAATGCCAAAAATATATATTTTTTTTATGTGGTTGTCTTTAATTTTGTAAAATATTTATTTAAGAGCCCATCCTCAATCAATGAGTGCAACAATTATGAAAAGTCAAAACTAGATGAATAAAAAGGAAAAAGAATTAAAAAAGTAATTTAAAACAGAAAATAGAAATTTCTAATGGCAAGTCTTCAAAATTCAACACCAAATAACTCCAAGAATCAAATGAGATACGAAATACTAACCAAAATGTAGATAATAGAAGCATAAATGATAGTACGGTAGCGGCCAAGAAAAGAATCAGCCACAACCGCCCCTAGTAGCGGCAGAAGAGTGGTGGTGCCTGACCATGTGTTCACATTCTCAGCTGCCGCCGCCATAGACTGGCCAAGAGAACCCGTTAGGTATGTTATAAGGTTAGAAGCTATCCCATAATATGCAAACCTCTCCGCCACTTCCGCAGCTACAAGACCAAAAATAAAATTTTAAAAATCAAGAATAAAAACCTTTTAATTATTGATCTCATGGGTTGAAAGAAAAAGTTTGGTCAATCTACCTATAATAAAAGAAGCTGATCTCCATCCGCCGGAGCTTGATCGGTAAACTGGGCGGCCGTTGTAGTCGACGGATCCATTAACGGTGTCTTCTTCCATTAACGGAGAAGTATTGTCGGCGGTGACTAATATGGCCATTTTCTTTCGGTTTGATTTCTAAACTTAATAGCACTTCACAACAAGCCAACAGAAGTTCACCTATCGCTATCATTTTTTACCGAAAATCCAATTTCGTCCTCAACTTTTTTCCTGAAATGTCTGTATTAGCTTAAAAAAGTAAGATGAATTATCATTAATTCTTTGATTATGATAGAAATATATTAAATAAATTTTATATTTTAAGAAAATTAGTTTATTTGTCTCCATCTTCATAAGTTATTTCCTTCGCATAATATTTATTTTCATTATTTCCTTTAGTAAGCATAAATTTTTAATATAAAAAAAAATCAATAATTGAGGTACAAGATAACCTTTTTCTTTCCTATTTTCATCCTCTGTTTCTTCACTTATCTCTCTAGTAATTGGTTTTGGTCTTTTATACCTTTTTGGATTGGTTTTGATGTGGGATGACGTAGCAGTAAAATAATTCATAGCAATAATCTTGAATGTAGTGCCCGCGACCCCATATTTTGATTTTTACTGGTCCACTAAAAGGGAGTTCAATTATAAAATCAAGAAAAAAAAAGCTCTATTTTACTGACGTGGGATAAAGTTTCTTTTTGAAATACACCGCAACAAAAAAATTACATAAGTCTCTGTTTATTTTTATAAAATAATTTATAAAAAAATATTTTTTTACAATCATCCGTTATTTGGAGCATTTAAAAAAATAAGTTAACGGAAATATTTTTCTAGTAAAAAAAAATAAAGTCATTTTTCAAGGAAAATAACTTCTCATTTTCTAAAGAATAAAATATTTTCCGGACATTGAGAAACCTTATAAATTTATATTTTTTAAATTTATTAATCATCATAGTCATGTCCACTAGTCACTATTTACTACCGACTGCCACCACCGGCGGCCACCAGTAGCTTTCATAATTTACATTTTTTTTTCATTCTTCTCATATTTAATAATAAAATTTTTGTTATAAAATATATAATATAATGGATGTCCATTAAGTTTATTAAAGAAATTATTTATTTCTCCGAAAGTTATATCCTTTGAAATAAAGGGTTATGTCCTTTAGGATGAATGATTATATCCTTTAGTCGGTAATGTTATATTCTTTAAGATGAAGGGTTATATCATTTAATATGTAAGGTTATGTCTTTTGGATAATGTTTTATATCTTATAAATAGTTCCTTAATCCTTTGGATTATGTATCTAAGATTTTAATACAAAAATTCAATTTCTCTTTATTCTCTCTATATTCTATCTACTACATGTCTATATATATTCTCTATTTATTATATTTCATAACACGTTATCAGTACGAAACTCTAATCAAATTATATGAATTTGTTCTACAACTTTTGATCAATTTCTATGGTGTTTTATTTTTGAAATTAGTTAAAGAGATGATAACTTATAGTTTGCGACAATCAAAGTTAAAAATTTTATATCTAAGGTGCTCACGATTAAAAGCCAATTCTACATACAATTTTGTCTTATATATATTTTAGATTTTAATTATAAATATAAATTCAATCTTTGTTTTTATAATTGATTGGTTATTATATAGAATGTAATTCTAAAATCAAATTAGTATGGTATTGTTGTTTTATCATGTCAAATCTCATAGAACTTGGATTTGTGACTTTTAATATATATTGAGTATGAATTATTTATCTTTATATGTGGATATCATGTGTCCTGAAGACACAATAAGGAAGAAAATCAAGGAATCAGTAGAATTTGCACTAAAACAATAAATTTCTTCCACTAGATATTTAACAATTAAATATCCACTTATTTTATTGATAAAATGTGAATAATATTTTTTATTTTTGAATATGCTTCTGCATTAGCATTATCAAAAAAAAAAAAATTATAACATATCGATGGTGGATTTTAAATTAGTTTCACTTTTTTTTGTTATTTAGCAAAAATTAAGCACTTAATTTATATAATATGATTTGTTTTTATTTCCTCAAGTGAATAAAATGGTATATCACAATACTAAGTATAAATAAAAAAAATAATGGCATATTTATAATCATGATATAAAAGATCTCATGACATGAAACCCACTCAATTGGATTTATTTCATTCCCTTAAGTGAATGCAATAATATATAATATTAGGTATGAGTGTAAAAAATGACAAAAATATTCTTGTCATTAAGAATGTTAATAAGATCATTATTGAATTACTGATCTTTGTAATTATGGAAATCACAAGTAATTAAAATAAATTTTACCACAAGAAGTGACAAAAAGATAATATGGCAATGTTGATTATGTACTTATTGTACACCAACGTATGTGAAAGCGAATTTTGGCTTTGATATTAAAAGCTCTTGAAGAGAAAATATTATTATTTAGAGAAATAACTTTCGTGCATTATATTTTTTCTTTTATCTTTTAGAAATTTATTTTAAAGATATTCGCAGAGATGAATATCATATAGAAATAATAATTATATGAATATAGTTGTAAACTAAAAGTTTACAAATTCAAAATTTTTTTGTTTGACAATGATCAGTTAGGCTATCTTGGATCAATATTGATGTCACAAGAAATTAAATCTTTACATGAATATTTGTGACATCCCGACCCGGCAAAGCGATCCTAAGGATGGCAGGCTAGTTAGGATAGTGGAATGAATCGAATCATTTATCGAAAAGAGAAAAAGTAATCATTAGAGGCGCCTTTTGGTGGAATGGTTGGAGAGTTGGAAGAACTCCAGGATTAAGCGTGCTTGCTTAACAAAAATCCTAGGATGGGTGACCTCCTGGGAAGTTTCTTATTTCACCTGCGAGACAAAACCGTGAGGGCGGATGTATGTGGTTAAGCGTGCTCACTTAACGGAAATCCTAGGATGGGTGACCTCCTGGAAAATTTTCCATTTCACCTGCGGGACAAAACCGTGAGTGCGGCTGTATGTATTGGCTGGATTAGGTCGGGGCACAACCCCGTGGCCAAAGCCAACTTAAGCGGAAAATCGCTAGGATGGGTGACCTCCTGAAAATTTTCCATTTTCACCTTGCGGGACAAAACCGTGAGTGCGGCTTGTATGTTATTGGCTGGATTAGGTCGGGGCACAACCCGTGGCCAAGCAGATATTGTGGAATGGCACTAAAGATATATTGATGAATATTAAAATGCTATTGAAGGATTTATATAGTTATGAAAATATAGAAGTGTTGTTGTGTTATGATGATACCCGTGGCCAAAAAGCGGATTTGTTGATGACACCGTAGTATATTGATGACTTATTAACATGCTATTGAGGATTTTTATATAGTTATGAATATAGAAGTGTTGTTGTGTTTATGATGATTTATTTGGAGATGTTGGAAGTTTGGAGTTATAATTGAGAGTGTTTTTGTATTTTATATGTTTTTCGCGAGCTAATTTTTAAAAGGAAATTCTTACAGTATTTCTGTAGGATTTTTGTCCCAATTTTAATTTTTCAAAAAAAAAACATATTAACTCGTTAAACTTAGTGAATACTCAATTACTTCTATTATAATCTTAATTTTATAATTTGTACTGTTAAGTTAAGAACGGTGTCTCCGGCCGAATGTGACATCGTTGTCCACTTCTAATTCATAATCTAATTTTATAATTTGTATGTTAAGTTAAGACGGTGTCTCCGGCACCGAATGTGACATCCGTTGTCGGGTCTCACGGGACTGGACGGCAGGTGTTACAATATTTATTAAAAAATCAGAAGTTTCTTTAAATCTAATGAATTTTAATGGTTGTGTTCTCAAAACAATTTTTATGAGAACAAAGCTCCCTATTTAGATATAAGGACATTGCTATTATACAGTGGTAATTATTCACATCAAGCCAACAAGCTTTCTCTTTTTGATTATGAATCCTTAAAGGAAGTTATAGATACGTTGGGTATGAAGTTTCATTTCAATATCTAGAATTTTAAATAAAGAGAATTGTCTATCGCCAAATTTGTTGATCGTTATGGATCCTGATGTTAGGGAGAGAGAATAAGTAACTAAAAACGCTAAGTTCTTGATTGTTATGAATCCCGACATTAAGGAGAGAGAATAAGCAGCTGAAAATGCTAATTACTTAAAAATAATTATTACTATCAAAATTTCTCACAAGGTTGTGTGAACTAGAAATTCAAAAGATAGTTATTTTTGCAAACTATTGTAAATTAATTGCTAAACTCGTACTAGAATCAAAGTCCTTGAAGGATAAAACTGCATATGTTAATAAATCTATTGCACGCCTGAAGCGTGATAGATTGATCAGTTCCAAGGACAAAAATCATTGAAAATAAAAAGGAGTAGATATGTTATATTATCCAGAAGAGATATCAGACATGACTGATAAATAATTTCCAAAAGAAACTCAAATATCTAAAACCAATGATTTCAATGAAATAATGAGATCTCGATAAGTTATGTCATATCAAAGAAAATATGAAGTCAATATAAAATAAATATCGACTGTATTTTTACATATACTATAACACTTAATATTGTAAAGAATTATGAGGATATTGAATATAAGTCTCATTGGGGCATATGAATATAAAATTATTGTCTATTTTATACGGTTCATTTGATATAGATATCTATATCAAAATCCCTAAAGGATTTGTTACTTGAAGCACAAAATTCAAATTCTCGAGAAATTATATAGAGCTCTATATGGTTACTTGATAATGATAGTCCTTAAAGGATTAAAACATGCTTAAAGCATGCAAATTGAAACCCTTGAAAATATATTTAAGTAAACTATAAAGATTTCTATATGAATTAAGGAAATCTGATGGTATAATCGCCTTAAAGATATGACTAAGCAAATATCATGTGATCTATGGTGAAAAATAAATATATGACATGATTCATTGGATTTCTAATCTTCTTTGATGAAATATATGAAAGTCCCTGAAGGATTTAAAATGTCTGAAGCATATAAAAGATCTTTATATGGATTAAAGCAATCTAGGCGCATGTGGTACAGTCACCTTAATATATATATGATACATGAAGGTTACATAAAGGAAGGTTAAAACATCTAAATTTGTTGTTATTGTTGTGTATGTTGATAATATAAATCTCATTGGACTCAAGTAGAGCTCCAAAAATGCAGTGAAGTATTCAAAGAAGGAATTTGAATTGAAAGAATTTGAATATACAAAATTTTGTCTCGCCTTGAGGAGCGAGCATTTTATAAACAAAAATTATGTCCATTAATCAATCCATATAATTCAAAGGATCGAAATGATTGTATATGGATAACACTCATCCATTAATGAAATTGATAATTGTAAGCTCATTTGATAAGATAAAGAACTAATTTCGACCTCCAAAATGATAAAGAACTCTTTAGTCCTAAAATACTATGTCATTTTGCAATAATGAAAATACTATGTCCTGAAGTACCATAGTACCATACTGAGTATATATCGGAAGGATCATTATACTCATAATGATTTATATATGATTTACATTTCTTTATTTATGAAACACGTCACAATTTATGAAGCAAGCAACTAATGTGTCTGATTGAAATTGATATTTTGATATGTACAAAGTACATACAGTCTACTTGCATAAAAAACAAGCTCCATAATATTGTAAGAGATAATATTAAAATATATTATATTCTCTGAAGGAATGATACACTAAAGGAAAAAACCAGCAGTGATGTCTTCATGAGTAGGAGAAGTAAATTTTTAACATGAAGAATACTGTACTCTTTTTCTTTCATTAGGATTTTTTTTCCCACTAAGTTTTTTCTAGTAAGATTTTAACGAGGCATATTCTTTGTGTAATACACATTCAAGGAGAGTATTATAAAACTATATAATATAATAGATGTCCATTAAGTTTATTGAAGAAATTATTTATTTCTCTAAAAGTTATGTCCTTTGAAATAAAGTTATTATATTTCATAACAATTTTTAAATTATAAAATTTCTATTATTATTAATATTTTTTATGGACTTTAATATTTTTAACTAATTTTCAGTATTACGACCAAACAACGGAAAATAAATTATTTGAAAAATATTTTTCAAGGAAAATATTTTCCATAGAAAATATTTTTCAGCAAATTATTTTTCTGCAAATTATTTTACGGAAATAAACAGAGCATAAATGGTTAAATTTGAATATTAAAATTTGGATGTGAATTAAATTATTATTTTTATTTTTATTAAGAGCATAAAAATATATTGTCAAAGACATATTTTAAAATTAACTTAAATGGAAACATATCTTTTGCAATAAAAATAAACATAAATCACTCTTTTTATAAAGTAATTATATAAGAAATCGAGACACAGAAACTTATAGGTCAACTTTGCTTCCATAGATCAATCAACTTAGTAAGAGTTCTAACTGAAGAGCCACACTCTGTCCAAACACTCAAACTCTTCTCTTTCATTTTCAAGCTCATTTCTCTCAATTCTTCCCCTTTCTCCGAGTCCATTAACTCAAGAACTCGTCTCGCCAACTCATCCGCTCTAACAAACCCATCTTCATCTCTCTGCTCCACTGCAATAGCCATCTTCATATCCTCCACCAATATATTCCTATTCAAATGTTGCTCTGCATAAAGCGGCCAAGCCACCATCGGCACACCAGCAACCACCGATTCAAGCACCGAGTTCCACCCACAATGAGTAACAAACCCACCAACTGATTCATGACTCAGTACCTCCACTTGCGGTACCCAAGATTTCACTACCAAGCCTCTATCTTTAATTCTATTCAAGAATCCTTGAGGCAGAACAGAGTCCAAATCAAAATCTTGTTTGGTCTCAATTCTCTTCTTTTTTGCATCATTTATTGGATTTTTAACTACCCATAAAAATCTTTTACCACTTGTCTCCAACCCATTTGCAATTTCTTTCATTTGTTGTACACAAAAAGATCCAACACTTCCAAAACAAAGAAACACTACACTTTTTTTTGGTTGCTTATCAAGCCAAGAGAAGCATTCTTCTTCTCTATTATTACCACTGCCCTTAGAAATCAAAGGGCCAATACAATAAATTGGTGGAGTTGGTGCATCGAAAACACATGCCCCATTTTCAATTGCTTTGATTGCTTTTGGATCTAAAACATTAAATGTATTCACTAAAATGCCATCAGATTTTGCAAGATGTGAACAGAAGTATACCATGTCATTATAGATAGAGTCGTTTCTGTCAAGCATTGGTTCTGACATGTGAATAGCTTTTAGAGGTGATATACCTGCAATCCAAAATTATATATATTTTTTTAATTTTATCTCTAATTATAGATGAAATGGCGACTTTCATACCTGGGATTTGAAGAACAGTATCTACCAAATCTTTGAAGCTCTGGGTGTGCTCCTCATGGATTCTTGGAAAATATAAGTAAGCAGCAAGACAACCAGCTCCAGAAGTAAAATAGTAGTAAGTGGGGATTTTCAGATCTTTCCCTATAGAAAGAGCAGAAGCACAAAAAAGATCAATAATAAATGCACAAATCTTGGTTTCTTTTGATATTTCTTGAAGAGAATCAAGAACATAAGGCCTGTTGATTAGTACACACTCAAAGTTCATGGCAAGACGGCTACGAGGGGCAGTGGTGTCAACGGAGGACGGAGGGAAACGGCGGAAGGAGATGGAAGAGTGGGTTTTAGAGATGTCTTTTATGTAAGAGATAAGGGTTGGGTTGTCCCATAAATCAGAAGTTATAAGAAGGATAGCGATGGAGAAATGGTTGTTGTAGTGGTGGAGGATAAGCTTGCCAAGCTCAACCATGGAGAATATGTGACCTATTCCTGGATATGGGTAGAGGACGATGGTGTGTTTCATTTTTGTATATTTTGCCGGTTTTGTTGGACCTCTGGTTTTGGTTTTCTTGAGTTTGCTGAGCGGCTATTATCAAACTTTTTATGGAGGATGAACCTATATCGAGTATATGAGTTCATCTTTTCTCCAAATCAATCTGGTCCATTCGTTTACATCAATTTGGTACTATTGCAAAAGAAGACTTCCACTAAATTGTTGGGGCCAATAAAAATTAAAAATTCCATTGAAAAGATTGAATTGTAAAATTTCAAAATTCAATCTCTTATAAATTCCAAAATCCGACAAACAAAAAATCTCTAATAAGTCCAACAAATAAAGTCAAAATTCAAAACCCCAAATCTTCAGATTTTGCAACTAAATCCTCAAGCAATTGTTAAAAAAAAAAAAAAAAAAAAATAAAAAAAAAAAAAAAAAAAAATGTCAAGCAAGACCAGTTACAACTCCAATAACACAGATACAAATCTAATTTAATGTTTAATATTTTCTCTGTTGATTCAATTTGTGCATGCATGACAGCTACCTCTAGATCTTAGAGCTTAACAATTTCTCAATTCCTCATCTTTCTTCTGTCTTGCACTGGTTCTGGTTCTTGGCTCTGCTTAGGAAGGTATTGTTAATGGAAATGGATCAAGAAAATCAGGAACAAATTTTCTTAGTTTTTCATATTATATTACAAACTGAAAGAGAGAGATAAATTAATATTTGGGCTTGCTTAGGTTTGGACCAACCAAGACTAAAAAATTATTATTAAGCAATTAGCTAATTAGTTTGTCACCTTTATATGCCCTTTGTGAATATGGTTTTTTGTCGATGTGAAATTCTTAACACTTTCTCTCCAGTTTCTCAAGTGCAATCGAGATTGGACTTTCAGTTGATATTTGAAACTTGAAATCCTCCGCTAAAATTGAAATGGGCTTTTCTTTTTCCCTTGAAATTGAATGAGCCTCGCTGGGTACTGGACATTCAGACGAGAGCCCAAATTGCATTGCAATGGCGACACTGATATATTGAGAAATAATTGAATTGGGCCGGACTTGCTCTGATATCATATTACAAATTAAAAGGCTAGAGGTGAACTGGATAAGAGGTTAGAACCCATGATATGAAAATGTGTGATTTGAGTCTGTTTGGGTTTGAGCCAACCAAAACTAAAAAAAATTAGTACTAACTAATTAGTTAGCTAGCTTGACACCTAAATGGAAATTTTCTCTGAAGTAAGAGAATAGAGGAGTAGCTTTTTTTTGCTTATATTCAAGTTTTACTTTTTCAAATTTAATATTTATTTGCATGCTTTTTTATTTTATTTTTAATTATCTTTTTTTACTACATATTTTTTAATATATATATATAATTCATTAATTATAATATCAAGTGTTACAAATACTCATATAGATCAGAAATATAACTTTACTATCATTAGCTAATAGAGTTCTCTAATCTTTTAACAAATCCAAAAAATTTTTATATTCTTTTAAATGATAAAACTAAAATTGAAAGAGATAATATAAGATATTTCTACTCGAAGATGATATTGATAAAAGATATAAATATTCATAGTAGTAAGTAGATTTGGGTGACAAAATAATAATTTTTCTGAATCTTCTATACCTGAATTATTTTTTCAAGAACTTGCAACATATAATGTATATAGATATGTTCTTGTCACTATACCTCAATAGCATAAATATAAGAATAAGCTGCATTACCACGCTTCATTAATCGAAGATCCAAATTTGCAAAATAAGATTTAAAGTCTCCAATTAAATAAAATCAAATATCATATCTTTATTTAATAATAAACCCTCACAAAGAAGGGGATAACCCTATGAAAAAAACTCAAATTATGGAGATAAAGCAACAATAATAAAACGAAGAAAAAAAAATGTTATAGGAAAAACATATCTAAGATTATTAAAAGTGAATAAAAGTTAAAAGTGAAAGAAAGAGTTGAAGCGAAAGAAATAATAGAAAATATAAGTTACCGCTAATCAACTGTGACAGCCTCAAACTTACTACATAATTATTAAGTTAATCCAAGCTTAAAGTCAAGAGTGAACCTATTTTTTATTTACAATTTAAGTCCTTATTATAATTTAAGGTGCTATTACAACAAAAAGTAAAAGTTTATAGTGAAATTGAAATAAAGGTCAAATTAAAGTGAAATGGCAACAAAAGGTCAAAGTTTAGGGTGAAATTGATAAATGTCAAATCGGAGTTAAATTGCAACAAAACCTAAAGTTGAAGGTGAAACAACATATTAAGAATATATATATATATATATACATGATAAATATAATTAACAAAAAGGAAATACAAATGTACTCGATACATTAAATAATATCATAAAAATATTTCGGATCTAAGATATTTATTATTATTATTGATATTTGATGATTAACAGCTTGAAAAATAATTGTAAACTGTAACTATGATATTATTATTTTTGTTATAAAATATATTATATATACTATGATATTATTATTGTTTTATATATATATATATATATTAAAAAAATTCACTAATAAATATGAAAAATCAAAAATAAAAAAATTCAATTCAATAAGTTGACTAAATATATGATCGATAAAGATCTTGCTACTAAGTTTTAAAAGTGCTTCATACCAAAATTTGAACTCGAGACTTCTAATTAAGGAAAAAAAAGACATTTACTGACGGTGGTAAATGTTAGAGTTTTATTTTGTTAGATTTTACTTTACAACTATTTGTTACAAATAGACTAATATTATGTTATTTGTATACTATGATGAATCAAATCCATAAATAAATCGTATAAAATCCTAATGCTTTTTTCTTTTTTTTTCTTTTGTCTAATCTCTCTCTTCCATTTCTTCACCATTAATCTAAATTTCCTCTACATTGTCAACAATTTGACCTATAAATGTATTATTTTCCACTCTACCCTTTTACCCGTTAATTAATTACTGCCACGTATATATATATATATACATACGCACACTACGTACGTGTAGGATTACCGTTGCCATAACTGTGATTTTACAATTTAACTATTTTATTTTCTACTAATTATATTTCTATCCAAAATTTTTATTTTCACTTTTAATTCTTTTATCATTCTTTAATTATATTCTTAGTGCAACAACACTTTTCTCACTTAAGCCTTATATCGTTCTTTAATTATATTTATGTCCAACGTTATTTTTTCACTCATCTCTTTTAGTATTCTTTAATTATATTCTTGAGCTTAGATTTTGTTATCCATTTAAAATTTATCAAATTAACTTTTTTTTTTAATTTATATAAGTAAAGCTTAATATGAGTTTTCCATTGCATTTTTTAAATGTATAATTATAATATATTGAATAATTAATTTTGTAATATATATAATTAATATACCATTGACTTAAATATAAAAAATTATCAATAGTTAACTTTTTTTTCCATTAATTTAATTTGTTTCCATACTTTTTTATTTTTAGATCCAGTTAATTAATAAATGCTATATATCTTCTATTATAATGTGGAATTCATTGAAATTCGAAACTTTTGGTAGTTCACGTGTATACATATTACTATTAACGTTCATTAAATATATGTGCATTTATAATAAACAATTATCCATCAAATGCTAACTATTAAATACTGATAATAATTTTTTCAAGCAAATTAAAGATTAATATTTCAAACTTATGTAAAGCTTTACAAATACCATTTTAGAATAATATTTTTTATTTTTTATTAGTTCAATTAATAAAATAATAATATTTGACACCTTATTTAAACTCAAAATAATAATATCTATGTAAATTTATTTATTTTTTTCTAAATTGACTCAAATTAAAATGATAAAAAAATTAATAAATTGTCCATTCTCATTGAGAAATATTATATATCTAGTACATTCACATTAGAAGACTTTTATTTTTCTCTTATGCGCATTCATATTAAAATGAAATACTAAATGGATAAAATATAAATTTTTACTCAAAATAATGGGCCGTAAAATTATAATAAGTTACTTACAACTAATAGATGCAACACTAATTTGAATCTTTATTATATATCTAGATGTAGATATCACTTATGATTCAGGTCTTAGTTTAATATTAGGAAAGCCTGTTGGCTTGGGTTAGATTCTTGAATTAGTTGAATTTATTCCCGGTTTTCTCTTTTTTTAATAATATTAAGAAATTTATTTGAAGATGTAGATATCACTTAATATACATGTATAAAAAATAAAGTTCCTTATTGTCTATAGTATTTCATGTATTTATTTTTCAATTAATTATGAATATAATGTTTTTAAAGATTATTTAAATTATAGTTTCATTGATAATTCATTTAATTGTTATTGTTATTTTATAAAAATATTTCAAAATTATTATAGGTTGACAATAAATTGCGGTGTTAAAAAATTTATAATAAAGTTATGCCAACTAAAGCAAAAACACACATATATAATTTCTGACTGTATTTGGTTAAAAACATATTTTGTGGTAACAAATAATTTGAAGAAATAGCATTATCAAGCTGTATAAATACTATTATGGTTTCTTATATAATTATGCCTGCATGATGATGTCAATATAACATTCATAATGTTGTATATAAATTGAATTGTTATGCATGGAGTTAACAAATGTGAATTATCATAAATAATATCACGTAATACTATATTTCATTATATAATGATATGACTTTTAAATTACATATATTAATATATAATTTATAATAATTAATTGGTGCATCGCGCAGGATTATATATTCCTTTTATTTACTAATCAACATTATAGTTTCACCCCCAATTAAATTACTAATCAACAATACCCAGAAATCTTCAGCCTTGCCTCCAAAGGTCAACTAACCTAGTAAGAGCTGTAATGGAAGAACCAGACTCTGCCCAAACGCTCACATTCTTCTCTTTCATTTCTATACTCCTCTCTCTTAATTCTCTCCCTTTGTCCGAGTTCATCAATTCCCTAACTCGTTTGGCTAGCTCATCCCCAGTAACAAACCCATCTTCATCTCTTTGCTCCACTCCAATAGCCATTTTCATATCCTCTACTAGTGCATTCCTATTCAGATGTTGCTCTGCATAAAGTGGCCAAGCC